CATGACAGCCAGAGCATGTCGATGAAGCTGCTGTGATACTAGAATTCTTTGGAGTGTATCTAAAAGCTGCCATTCACCCCCTGCAACGTGTGTGAGGGCGGGGAGGGAATGGGACTAAAACACAATTCAATATTGCTGGTAGCTAAAGACAGATGGACAGAACTAGCTGACACATTAGGAGTGTCAAGAATGGCATCTAAAAAAATGACACCAACTTGTGTGTCAGAGATGGAGAATACTGTGAGACCACAGAGAAGGGCCACATGATGCCAAGATGACACTCATGGGGACCAAAAATGTAATAATGTAATAAAGTTCTGTTTTTTGACGTTGTGGGGATCATTTTTCTGGTCCCTACAAAGATCTGTGAATGCAATCAAAAAAGTAAAAACGCCAAAAGTCTCGTATCTCATATCTTACTTATGGTTATGGTTAGGACTGGGCAGGGGTTAAGATTCTCATGTTGTGATTAGAGTTTTCCCTATAGAAATGAAAGGAGATATAATTACAAACCTGTGTGTGTGTGTGTGTGTGTGTGTGCGTGAGCGGGTTTACCTATCCTTATGGGGACATAATGTCCCCATAACATGATAAAAATCTGTTTTTTTCCCCTTATGGGGACCGTTTTCCTGGTCCCCATAAGGGAAAACTCTATTTTATAAAAATCGGTGACTGCTATGAAAAAACTAAAAATGCAAAAACTCTTGTATTTTGTTAGGTTACTTATGGTTATGGTTAGGGCAGGGTAGGGGTTAAGGTTGTCATAGTTAGCGTTAGCATTTTTCCCATTGAAATGAATGAGCGGTCCCCATAAGGATATGTTTACCCTACATGTATGTCTGTGTGTGTGTGAAAGGGTGAAACACAACACTTGCACGTAACAGGTACTAATATACACTATGTTAATATTCCAACTTAATCATAAATATGAATTTAAGCCCCTTGTTTTTTTACTATTACAGGTTGTATGTATTTTTGCATATTTAACTTTAAATGTAAAATATGGAATCATATTTAGAAATGCCATCATTTATATGTTGATTTACTTATTTGTATTTTCCATTTTCAGAACTTCCAGTGGCCTAGGAACAGTATAGTCAATCGCAATAACAACTAGGTAGATTTCACAGAATGTAACTTGTCCAAAAATTAATTATCTGTAATTGTAGATAATGATAAAAGAATCAATACATACCCACGATGCTACCGAAGACATAAAATGGATGCAAAAGTTGCCAGATAAGATATAATACGACACGATAAAACAATTCTCCATGTGTTTCTCACTTAATCCCTAAGTGATGCAACTTTCTGCTGCTCTTAAACCAGGGGTGGCCAATCTTATCCAGAAAGGGCCGGTGTGTATGCAGGTTTTTGGGATAACCTTTAGGTCAACTGTTCAAACCCAGGTGTGAGGACTCTTCAGCCAATCAGTCCTCTAATTAGGAATCTAATTAGGGAGCTGCAGCGAAAACCCACACACACAGCGCCCCTTTCTGGATAAGATTGCCCACCCCTGTCTAAATATGACCACAACAAAATACAGAAAAAGAAAATAATTACTTTAGTAATAGAAACACATTTTTAACACATTAACTTAAAATACAATCTCCACATCTTCATTGTTAACATGAATCTATACAAGGCAGACACATCGCAAAGTTACATGCAAAGTCACCGTACAAGTTTTCGTCACTTTCATTTCACAAGGCATTGTGTCCACGCTTTCCTTCCCATCCATGGATATAACCACTTTGACTACATCTGCCAAAGAAATGTGGCCGAATATTAAAACATTTCATAGCCATTTTTCATAAAGAAACTATGAAGATTAATGTAAACGTTGCTCTGCAGTGCACATTAGGCTAAGGGAGATATTAGATAAACATACTGCATAAGCACATCATTTTCTGTGATACCACCAGAGCGTTAATTGGACATGCTGCCTACAGGGATGAATATTACAAATGTTACTCAGTGGGGAAAAACATTAGATGGAATCGCATTAAGGAACAAACCACTACATCAAGTAGGTTCTGCACTATCAGTCAGCAGCAGTGCTAAAAGTTCTATTTAAATAGGGGAACTTTTCCTGTTCTCCTAAGCTTGAAGTGCATCTATGAGCACATTAGTCGAGGCTACACTGTTATTTCAGACCCCCATTAAAGCTTCTACCACAAAGTATTGATATAACTGGTCAATATTTACTTTAGTATAGATTGACAATTAGCATAGTTTAAATTTTACAGGTAATAAAATGATCCCATCTTGTTTTTGTTTTGATATTTTGTGTGCTGATAGCCATCTGCACAAAACTTCCCATTTCATTTTGTCCACAACATTGACAGGAAGTCAATCGGGAATAACATGTATAGCACCGGCTGATGTGAAAAATGCTGATTTTAATGCAAATTTATAGAAAATATACGTTTTCCTTCGCTCGCACTCTCTCTCTAGGTCATGTGACACATTTTCGGTTAGGAATCATTAAGTAACTGGTGTGTCACATAACAGTAAAATCCTACACCTGAGGCTCTAGCTGCAGCAGTCTTTGGTATTTCGTCCACTGGCCATCAGCACTTGGGCTGCCAGGCTCATCTTCCCACATTTTATACAAAATCATACTCATTGTCTTTTCATCACACACACTTGAAGCTTATGGTTTCCATATGAGAATTTAAACTATGCTGTAAACGGCAAACCTGAAATACGAATGGGCTGACTACGAAATAGGCCTTTCAAAACAAGTATGTGAGTAGAAATGTGTAAGTAAAATAAAGTAAATAGAAAAGTAAAATCTACAGCAACACCTGTCCATTCATTTCTCTGGACATATTTAAAAATTTTGAGATATACTCAGAAAGGGAAAGTTAGTTTCCATCACTTAAACAACAGCAGGCAACGTGTCGATTGCCGAAATTAGTAACTAGTAGCAAAGATGTTCTGATGTGTACAAAATTAAAGTTTTAATTTCAGAGAAATCAAGCTTTATCTTTGGTTAAAGATGTTATTTACAAATTTGTTAAAAGAGAGACCACATCTAAAATTAACTAAAATTAAATGCTGACGTCATTGACAAAGTACACGAAAATGTAAACGAGGTGGCGGCCATTTTACCAGGGAACAAGTTAGACGATCGTGTCTATGGACTGTTGTCTGTTTGGCTGTAGTAACATCAACAAGAAAAACTCAAAGCTAAGTTTGTTTTGTATACCTTCAGTTCGGAAAAATCAAGGCAGAGAAACGAATAACTAAGAGAAAGGTGACAGAAAGCTTGGCTAAAAGCCATCAATCGAAAGAACTTAAACAACAATACTGTGAGGAAGTGCCATGTTGTGTGTACTGAGCATTTCCTTACAGGCAGGTTGGAGCCACACAAATTCACTTTTCTAAATATAGTAAATATATTTGATTGCAGTTTATCTTTCATGAATGCTGTACCTCAATTAGCTGTAGCTATCAATACGTTATTAACACAGTTTGGCAGACGCCTTGCTGATGCTGCATGTATTTTTCACCTCAGGTTGAATATTTGCTGTAAAGCACCGTTAATGATGTCATGATGATCATGACAATTGTTCCCTTCTTCTGTGTACATAGACTCTTTGCATGCACGAGAGGCAGCCTTAGACACGACATAACAAAAAGTGTTGAATGCATAATGGTAGTTCACTTTTTCTTAATATAAATCATTTCATTATGTAAATGAAGTTTGTAAATGGGAGAGCAACAAAAGCATAAAGATAAGATCTCAGAATATCTGAAAGATCTCAGATGAAAGAAAAGAGAAAGATTTCTCTGTTAAACATGTAGCTTAGTAGCAGCTACTAATATCAATACTATTATTGTTGGTTTCCTGCGGTGTGAGTGCGTGAATTTTGCCAGGTGACATGGTCCCCTTGCCGCATTGTTTACCAGTGAGCTCGCCATCCTGTTACTTTACCTGAGTACTTGGTGAAGATGCCCCAATTGATAGTCAGAGCATCCATCCATTCATGGCCTTTTTCAACACTATATACACTAACACACGCACAATGTTACAATATAGGTGACCACAATACAATTGACTACAATTATGTATATTCCCATAGGTGATTTTGTTGGCGGTGGAAACGGTGCAGTTGCACCCCCTACTGGTCTGATGAAAATTCAATTTAAACATATTATCATGGAAGGAAACTACAGCAAAGCAGCAGATTCCGTTTCAGTGGAATCATGCTGATTGAATGTGATTTTTTTTATCATTTTTGAGAATATATTTTAGGATATCAGAACTGAAGAACTAAACCCACTGTGACCCACCACCTAAATTTAACGACTGAAAAATGTAATACAAAATCAGATTAACAGCTACGGCTACAGCAAAACAAATACGAGCATCTTTACCAGATGTTCCTAAGTAAAATACATTCTGTACATAGCAAGATATAGGACTCGGTGTACATGGTTAAAGCTCATTTTATTTATGTCCTTAACCAACAAATAACTATACAAGACAACCAGGGGCGGATTAACGCACAGGCTAGATACGGCTTAAGCCTAGGGGCCCCACGTGTGCCAGCCTGCAAGGGGGCCCCCATTGGCGCGGAGGGGGGCGGGGTTGGGGGGCCCCACGTGTGCCAGCCTGCAAGGGGGCCCCCATTGGTGCGGAGCGGGGCTGGGTTGGGGGGCCCACAGACTACTGTAGCCTAGGGGCCTCTGTACACCTTAATACGCCCCTGAAGACAACCCAGCAAACCATGGTGCTGGGTTTTCACTCCGATGGATTCATATCCCTTCTGGCAATACAGGGAAAAGGCAGGACATGGGGCCGCTGGTTGGACGGGCGGCTACAGGACGAGCTCTGCAGGGCTCTGGGGGAGCCAGGACATGGCACTATGAAAGTAATATGGCGACGAACTGAAACCACGAAGCCAGGGACCTGGCGCCGAAAAAATGGATTGCAATTCCAAAAATGGGGTTCCAGGAACCAGACCGCTAAGTAGGAGACAGAAAGGACAAACAGCTGGAAATGAAAAAAGATAAAAGCAACCTGAAAACCCAGAAACGAAATGCAGGACTGAACCGACAGCTAACCCGAAAAGCAACGAGAGGGGTGCTCGGTGTAATGGGAATATTGAACCAGCGTACTTCCGGTTCTGTACAAGTCACGCCGGACTGTTAGGTCCAGGAACCAAATAGCTGTTATGGTGTAACAATACTGACCAGAAGCTAATTTTATCGTAATGGGTATCATGTTATAATATTTGCTACATTTTTATAGATTTATTAAAACGTTCAGCAGAATAAAAGAAATCTACAACCCCTTGGGACAGTGAAAAATGCAACAAAAAACAAAAATGGTGGTTGGTAAATTCTCTTTTGCTCATATGTAATTCAAAATATAAAAATATCATATGTAAAGTTTGAACTAATTACACTGTAGTTTCACACTGTCCCAGCTTTTTGGGGGTTGTATGCCTAATAAAGTAAATGGTAAATTAAATTTGCAGAATTCTGAGCCCAAATTCAGTTTCGTTATGAGCTACAAGAAGTTGCTATGCCATCTCCAAAAATAATATAACTTATTTTGATGCAGACAGTAGGAAAAAAGTACAATTTCAATGTTCATACATTTATTTCACTCATTTATGTTGTTCAGATGAAATCAGATAAAACTCAGCTTTAAAATGTATGTAAACGTATGTTAATTCTTATAAATAAAATTAATCGCTGAAAGACATTTGTTTTATACATTTTTCAAATAGCAGTTAGTCATAATACTAGTAAACATGGAAAAAATGGAAAATATTTTAAAAGTAAGAGAATGCTTAATTATAAGTAACATATTTACATACAAACCCTTCTGGGTAGCAAAGTTTGTTAAAACAACAGAGCTGTACATTTTTTTTACGTATGTAATGAGAAAACAGAGTGCTGCAGGGACAATGAGCCATCGTGGCTGGCTGTGCTGCAGCTGGCTGCAAGACAGGCTTTGCTGGGACGGGGGACACACAGATATACTTTACAGGAGCCTGAAACTGCCTTCTATGGGCTCCTGGGAGGATGCCTTGCAAATTATAGGAGTTTTAGTGGTTAGATCAATTAGCAATATATAAGGATATTAAAGCAGTGAAGTCCCCGGAATAATTAAATTACACTCCACGGATAAAACCCGTCAACATAAACAATTGCAACTACACTGTAAAGCATATATCAAACTCACAGGTATATAATGTATCCCCATTTGGTATCTGGGGTGTTTTAGTTGTACAAACTGATATGTAGCATTTGTTGCAATAAAGATGTTAACACTGGTTTGGTTTAACAATCCTGGCACTGGTCCTGATTTTTCTTGCTCCATTTTAAGTTCCTATTATTCTGGTTCAAAGCAATGTGGGGGGGGGAGGGGGGGAACCAAGCCTCACTTTTAATTTAGGAAAACCTCGAGCGGTCTTCCGGGCGTCTCTTAAATAATCCATTATAATGAATGTATGCTTGGTGGTTTAAAGTGCATTTTAGTACTTTCATTTATGCATCACAGTACATCATTTACGAGGCGATGAAAGTGCACAAAGGACATTTACAGTCTGCAGTGATGAATCACCAATTCGGGCCTCACCGGGGACCACAGCGTTTCCAGTTCCATCACCATTGAGAAGGAGCACAGGTACAAAAAGCCCTTTGTGTCAGAGTTACTCACACTGCATGCAGCAAACACATTCTTTTGGAAGAGCACATGCCAGTTACATCAACACATGTAACACATTAAAGGTATAACATTACTGTCCATGAAAACATGGATAAAGCAGAAAGCTTTTTTTGGTGGGGGGGCGGGGGGTGAGAACTGCATAACCTGTAAATAGCTATACCATCATTTTTGAGAATGTTATTTTAGTCACTTCAGTACAATATATCATTTTATATTCATACATATTTCTTGGTACTGAATTTTCACAAACAAATCCCAAATTACTGCAAATCTAAATTATATATGTATTTTAAAAACATATTATGAACATATGTATTTTAAAAGACTAATGCTACTTTACAAAAGACTGAGTAAAAATATTTAAAAATTGTGTTCAGGCTTTACTCATAAGGCTGCAATAAAAGGTGTACAAAGATACATGTTAAATTTCTACAGGCTTGTTGCCAAAAGAAAAGGGATTTCCAGTTAATTGGCACAAAGTCCTTATTTAGCACAACAAACTGTCCACCTGAACTGTCCATTTAAACCTTTCTCTGCATACTGGATATTCAGGGCTGGCAAAAGCTGCATATTCCAAATAAAGCCTTAGTTCACCAATATGGATGCACTCACTGTGGACTCCTACTGAAATCCAGTTTAAGAGATAAGCAAATGTTTCTACGTTGTGATAAGCAATCTTTAAAAATGTTACAAATTGCTGTCATATATAAATTAAGAGGGAATTTATTGCTGGTATTACGCCTTTTATGGTAACATTTTATAATATTTTAGCACTACAGTGACCCCAAAAGAGTGACCTCATGGTAAAGTAAGGTTGCATGTTTTTGCGATGACGTGTGCAATGACTGGTTTCAGTAATATGTAACGGGGTAATCATTTAAATAAATTCATGAAAATATGTGATTTTGTACAATTCATAAGAAAGTATCAATCCATTGCATTACTAATGAAACTTCCATTAGCTATACTTTCAAATATATTTTTGTGATATTCATTGTTACATAACTTACTTAAAAAATCCACAGTAATGTTTGTTATAGCAAGATTTCATTGCTAAAGTGACTTACTGGAGCTGTTCTCTGATTTGTGTGATCTGAATGACCACTGTCGCTGTTACAGATACAGACTGCATAGGTTAGTTACAGATTTCCTGCTGATTTTCCTAAGACAGGAATACAGAACCACTGAGCAAACTCATCATGCCGTGTTTGTGTCATGAATGAAATTACTAGGAATTGGTCAGTAATGTCATAGTCACATGAGTGATTATGAAAATTGGGACAGAAACAAATTATTTAACACACTTTTAAAATGGTATGTTTTACTAGGTTTGACAGCCTCTTGACAGCTACCCATTGCCATGCAACATAAACCTTTGTCAGTTTCATTTCTGTTCAGTGGACCATGTCGCTGGATTCACCAGTGTCTTCTGAAAGTCTCTGAGTAATGGAGAGCAAAAAAAAATGAAATGTTCCATGCCGGAGTCTTCCATCTAGATAAGCATGACACTATTACACAGCATGTAAATCAGATGGGTGTTTCCGGGTAGTTCTGGGATTCTCCAGGATGTATACAGCTCACTTTGCTTTGATGCATTATCTTCACAGATTTTTTTATTCTGTGAGGACATGCACCTCTAGGCTTTTCATCTTCATTAGGATTCTTTCCTTGAGTAAAATGCTGCTGTCCGTGATTAACACAATCACACAGGATGTTTGTTAGATATAGCTTTTCAGTTGTAAGTGCCAAAGAAGATGCCAGAAACTGAATGCAAACAACACAGGTAAACAGTTTGTCTTAGACAAATGAAAGGGAAAAAGGGGAAATCACAACAAAACAGAATCAAGCAAATCCTATTTAAAAAGGGGACAGGGGACACTTTTAGATACAGTTCTGTCCTGCCTGGGCCGGTGGCTTTCTGCACCACAGTACACAAAAATTGGTTTGGCCTCCAGGACACTAGGGGCTCTAGACTTGAAACTCAAACATATCCGTCTGCTTCTTGGCCAGCTTGGCCACTTCCTCTCGGATGGCCTTGACCAGGGCGGCCGTGGAGAGATTGCTGAGGGAGGTGTCGGGGGTGTCCACAGTGCCGGTCAGACTCTGCTGGGAAGCAGCAGTTGACGGTGTAGCCGGGTGGTCTGGGGCGCTGTGGCTGGATGACGCTTGGCTGTACTGCCTCGGCAGCATGGGGGGGCTGCCCTGGGGGTAGCGGGGATGTGGGAAGGCTTCTACATAGCCCGGGAGGGGCACCTAGACAGACAGGAACGCAGACATCATTATAGCATTACCAACCACTTTGTTCACAACCACCCCAATATATAACTCTGTAAATACATCATCTTTGACATATACAGCTAGAGACTCCATAAAAATATTCCTGTGCTGACTTAAGAGATGTGCTCAATTACCCTGGCATATGACTGTGTCCACACAGTGTCATACATACATATAGCTGAGAAAAGTGCTTCTAAAAGGTTTCTAAATGGTACTAGTAAAACGATGAGAGCATCTGGCTGAAGGACAGAGGACAGCAGAGGACAGAGTCCGTACAACCTGGGTGACGTTCCATGGATAGAGAAAGAAAAAGTTTTTAAAAAGCAGATGGTTGTCTTACAGAATCTGCCCACTGGGGAGGAACATCCTCTGGCTCAGGGGGGTAGGACATCCAGGAAGGGCTATGGTACGAGCTCGGTGGCGTGGACACAACGTAGGCCGAGTAGTCGGACCGGTTGGCTGGTATGGCGTAGACTGCTGACATGGGGTTTCCTGAGGAGATTGACAGCATGCTGAGCCAATGAAAGCAGCCTCTCAGACATAAACTATTAGTGACAGGCCAAAGACCGTCTAGGTGCTTTGTGACAATATCTATGGCTTTTATGGAAAGTAAAAAACTCATATTGTACATTTTCTTGAGGTAAGCGTGATTTTTTTTCTTTTCCAGAAATGACATTTGTTTTCATTGTTCCTCATCATATTCAGAGAAATCCAAGCCCCAGAAGTTCAGGCTCCATCCATTCAAGTTAGCAATGACAGTTTTGAGATCAGAACTGCAAGTGATTATTCATGTAGCAGTCAGTGATGAATAACATTGTATTGGTTGGACAGTAGCTGGAAAAATAAAACTCATTGCATGGGATTTATTCTGTCCTCTATCAATAAACTCTTTAGATCTGATGTCTGTTATCCATCTTCCAGTCTCATGGCGGGTCCTGGAACATATCCCAGGTAGCGCAGGAGACATGGAAGGGCAACACCTTGGATGGGAAGCCAGTACAGCACAGGGCACACACACAGACTACGGGCAACATAAAAATACAAATTCACCTAAGAACACATTGTAAGCTTGAGAACTACTAGCTGGACAGGAAGAGCATTGTGCTAACAATTCAAATGTTGTGGGTTCAAATCCCTGGGAATGATTCTAAACTGTAACCTTTCCCTCTTTTACAAGTTGCTTTGGATCAAAGTGTCAGATAAATAAGATAATATACTATCCAATCTAAAACACTCTATTAATTTGACACCAAAAACATTTATTACAAAAGGCATTTCTAAAAATTTTACTGCATCTATGAATGTATTTATCCAGTTATACATTAATTTACAAGGTTAATATTGAGAAATGCTAAATGGAGTTCCACGTCATAGTTTGAAGGCTGTATCAAGGAATGTGTATGTTGGGGGGTCAGTGAATGTGTGTGTTTGGGGGGTCAGTGACTGCGTGTGTTGGGGGGTCAGTGACTGCGTGTGTTGGGGGGTCAGTGACTGCGTATGTTGGGGGGTCAGTGACTGCGTGTGTTGGGGGGTCAGTGACTGCGTGTGTTGGGGGGTCAGTGAATGTGTGTGTTGGGGGGTCAGTGACTGCGTGTGTTGGGGGGTCAGTGAATGTGTGTGTTTGGGGGGTCAGTGACTGCGTATGTTGGGGGGTCAGTGACTGCGTGTGTTGGGGGGTCAGTGACTGCGTGTGTTGGGGGGTCAGTGAATGTGTGTGTTGGGGGGGGGGGCAGAATCTTCCCCAGCACATGGCAGGGGTGAGCCAGCAGGGGTCAGCCTTTACATTGGTGCAGGGTAAATGGTATACAGGACGCCTGACACGCCACGCTCATGTTTTTAGGGAGATATTCTCATATGTTTAGATAACTAAGCAAGATATTCACAGTGTCATTTTTTATATGACCCAAAGAGAAACAGTTTCGAACCTGAGTAGTTTGACATAGGAAGCTCAGCAGCGACAGAAGCAACTGGCGGTCTTGTGATCGGCATATAGGGGGCGCTGTCGTGCTGACTGCGTGTCTCAGGTGCAGAGGACTCTGAGGTCCGAGCCTTCGGGCCAATGTCAGAAGAGGAACTGAGAGCAGAAGCATTAAAGTGTTCAGCATTGTTACACCATCACTCACCACTAGGTGTCAGATGTGCTCCAGCTAACAGCAGACCTGCAGGACACCACAGCTTCTCAGCACGTTCATTGATATTCACATCAGTTCAGTTTAAATAATTTAGGATTTAAATTTATACATGAGTATGGTATAAAAATCACACTAGGCTTGCCAAAATTTACATTTCCATAAATATTTTGGGCCTCCTTGCATAAACAGTCAGATGGTAGCTAAATGCGATCAGCTGCAGAAGAACAGTGGCGATGGCCCTGATGCTCCTACCGCCTGAGTGAGGCCCCAGGAGTGGCTGCATTTCTGGGGGGGATGGGGGGCGGCGGGGAGCCCATGGCCATGTCAGGAAGCTGCGTGAACCTAAAGGCCTGCGGGGGCAAGAAGAAGGGTGAGCGCTCCACCCCCCTGCACCTGGACGCACTGCACTCGGGGCAAATCGAGGAGGGGTGTCAGCCTCAGATAAACAAGAGCCTTAAGGCATGCAGGCAGCAACAGGCATCAATTACAATACAGACACAACGAGACGTGTAAGAGCTCCTCATGTGAAATGCGGCTATATAACGTGATGTTGGCTGCTGTTCTGCACCTTCCCACCCTTCGGTTCCTCATGTAATCTGTCTCCAAGAGCATCACACTCACCGGTTTGGGGAGGCTGTACTGGAAAACGTCAGGCCTGTACGCAGGGACCCACTGCAAGGCCCCGCGGGGCCGGCTCATGGTCCCGGGGGCGCTGGTCACCACCTCAGCATAGGGCCCGGGGTGCCGTAGGCTGTAGGGGCCGTGGTGTTGGTGATGGTGCCGGCGGCTGCCCATGGAGTGACCAGCTGAGGCCAGGCTGAAGGCCTCCTCCAGCAGTAGGTGCATCTGCTGTCGCACCTCGTCGATGGACGGCTGTGAGCTCAGGGTGGATGTGTCCGAGTGACCTTTGACCTGCCTCCCACCGCCACAGATCCGGGAGCCTATCAAGCGGTCCACGTTGGTCTCCTCGATTAATTCCGGCTCCGTCTGACAGATAGAGCCCCCGTACACGCAGGGTTAGTTTTCCCATAGTGCACCTGGTCCTCTATTTATACTCTGCGAATGGGCACATTGTGGGCAACTCATCTCCCACTGGATTCCAGAACCAGCCCACGACAAAGGTCCCCTTCGCTGACATTCATGAAGGTGACATTCTCTATCTTTGTCTCTGCCTGAGGTGGCATCACCCCCTCACTTACAGGTGCATTTGAACTTTATACCTCTTAAGCGTGAGTTAAACACAGACGAGGAGAGACGGCAGACATTCTTGCTGCCCGCAGCCCTGCCATTAGCTACTAAAACTCAGAGCAGGAATATTGACTTTAGCTTTCGATTTAGCCTAGTCAGAAAGGCTGATGCAAGAGTCTGATATGAGTCCCTTGGGGTAACAAGTGGACAGTTTAGTATAAGTTTTGTTTATTTATTGTTCACCCTTGGGGTTAATTGCTCTGATAAACTGTCCAGAAAATAGGAGGGAAGTAATTAACTGCTGCAGCTTCGTCCTCTCTGTCTGTGCCTTTCCTTCACTCTGTGATAAATCAGGGGAAGGCATGGGTGCCCTACTTCCTGTGCGTCTGAAAGTGAGCCGCAGTGGACCCCTGGAAAATGAATGCCTGATAAATAAGTCCTCCGACAACACGGGCAGCTGAATATGCAGCTTTCTCGCCTCGAGCCACAAGCGCGCGGTGCCAATATCAGCGCAAAGCCACAACACATCAAGAAGCAGCGCGGCACAGAAGGACGACGACTCCTGCAAGCACGAGGGCCGAAACCAGCACAGAACGGTCCAGAAGGACTGAGGTATTTAAGGAAATGACCGGCTTTCTCTGGTGTACTGTCACACTTCCCACAGTCCTGCATGCACTTCATTTTGAAAGGCTCTTCTCTCTGAATACTGTCTGTTTCTTAGCATAATTGCTCAGGAAAAGTAAATCTGAGAATATTTTGAAGCAAAGCCCTGAATGCTCTCCAGAACAGCTTCTGTATCTCCCCACACAACCTCTACCACAGAACACGCATACCCCTCCACACGCATCCCCTACTACAGCACACGCGTGTCCCTCCACACGCATCCTCTACCACAGCACACGCGTGTCCCTTTACACGCATCCTCTACCACAGCACATGTGTATCCCTCCCCATGCATCGTCTACCACTGGACATCCATGTCCCTCCACATGCATGCTGTACCAAAGCACACGCATCCTTCATCACAGCACACGCATGTCTTTCTCGCTCGCACTTACGTCGTAGCCACTGTTGCGGATCCCTCTCCTGGGTCGCTCCCTCATCACCAGCAGGTCCATCTCTGTTCCTCCAGGACTGGGGCTGTTCAGCGACTGGCGGCTCCGGTAGACAGGATTCCTTGGCTGGGAATGTCTGAAATCATGTCACTGTCGTCATCATCTTTATCATCACCCTCCTCATCATCAGCTCCCTCAGCAGCAGCAGCACGCTGCTAGGCCCCACATAACCTTCACCTTGACCTTGATATGGTGTGAACCTTTTCCTCTTTGGTCTCACTCACATTTGTGTCATTGCCACACTGTTAGATTTTCTGCAGAAGACGTGCAAAGCAGACAGTGCAAATATGTGGATAGACTCCCAACCCCCCCAAAAAAAACATACATTTATAGTATGTTTTTCTATGCATCAAGGAATTCTGGATGATGAATTATGATATCAGCATATTATCTTCCAGTGACACACACCTGGTTTTTTGCTTTCATCTTTGTCTCTCAGGTGCTATGTGTGTGTGACTCAGGAAAAGCAGCATAAAGCTGTGAAAATAACTATTTACAGAACCTCACCCCTAACTATTTACAGAACCTCACCCCACAACAAGGCAGCCCTAACCCCCGACTTGCAACTAGGCAACCCTAATTCCCAATATGCAACAAGGCAACCCGAACCCCCAACACACAACAAGGCAACCCTAATTCCCAACCTACAACAAGGCAACCCTAAACCTCAACCCACAACAAGGCAACCGTAGCCCTCAACCTGTGACGATGCAACCGTATCCCTCAAACCACAACAAGGGAACCACATAAAATGAAGTAATGCACTCAACACAAACACTACAATTAAAGCAGAGCTGCAGATGAGAACAGGAGGTTCACCTACAGCATGGTCCAAAATGGAACACAGATTTAGAGAATGCAGCAGAACGTTCTGCGTGGCCAAATGTCACCTTTTCCTGGATTTGACGTAAGTGGAGGCCTTCTCGTCATCAGCATCCTGGCCCATACTGAGCTCCAGCTGGAGCTTCTCGTGGCTGTACCTCTGCCTGTGGCCCCCAGACTTGTAGCCGGAGTTGATGGCTGGAAAGTCGTAGTATCCCTTCCGCTTGGCCTTCAGCCGGAGCTTGTTCCTGTAGTGCTCAATGTCCGACTTCTGCTTTAGGGCCATGCTCACCTGATGTGCGATATGGGGGGGCAGGGGGGGCACACTGAGAGTGCTGACATTTCCCCCCTGT